AAAGCATTCGTTTACTTGTATATTAAGTCTAAAATTCCTACTCAAACTTGAAAGCCTTCAGTCTCTTATGGAATTAAACTAATTCAAGTGGAGATGGAGACGATTGGAAAAACGCAGCGATTCAATTAAAATGCGTTCGTTCACTGCATTTCGTAACCAAGCGACGATTCCACGCATCTCGTAACAATGCAACGCTTGTTCGAGATGTGTTTTTTGTTCCACATTGCATAGCTACGTTGATCGTAAACTTAGACATTTTAAGTGCATTCCTCGTGATCTATGCTAAATTTTAGTTCACCTCTAAATGTTAAATCGCAATAAAAAATAGAAAAAATAAAAGACAAAGTGAGAGTGACGTTTTTTTTCCTTCTTAGTCAACGAAAGTTAACGTTGCGTAAGTATAGTTGATGATGAACGAGAAATTCTTAGAAAAAAATCACTTTTATTAATTTTTTTTTGCATTTATATTAACAAAATAAGAATAGGTAAGAATATTTCATTAAATAAATTAAAAATTACCAGAGTTTTAACATTGATTTATCTAAATTATATCAAATTTTTAATCTAAATTTCTAAAAAACTATTCCAATTTTTTTTTTTATAGAAATTGTTCAAATTTAATCGACAAATTATTTAGTGAACAAATTTTATGAAAAAAAAAATCTAAAATATTGCTAATTATTTCCATGGTAACAAATTCCTATTAAACAAATGAATTTTAAATAGTTTTTTTTTGTCATCAAGATTTTATAACTTTTTCTTTCTAATAGATTCAACAGCCTCGATTTCCTGTCGAAGTGAACTTTAATCTATATAAGAAAGCATGCAATTTTATATATTTTTTTCAATTTGAATTTAAATTTATAGTTTAATTAGATGAAATAATAATAAATACGACTGTCTACATTCAAATTGAGAAATATACTAGGTTAATTACAAAAACAAATTTGCAATTCTTCGCGTTAATTAGTTTACTAAAAGATTTGCATGGAAATTCCTCTTTGTTTTTGTGCAGAAATGATTGAATTATAAAAAAAAAAGAAATTGTAATAATTATTGAATCTACGTCTTTAATTTTTGAAGAAATAACAATTTTTTAATCTTAATGAAAGATCAGGGCCGGCGTTTCCGAATACGTTAAAAACAAAATAAAATTAAACAAACTTCACGTGGCAATGTTGCCAAAATAAATATTTAAATTACTAAAAAAATCACTATCATTGAGCTAAAACCCAATACGCTTCTGCAACCGTTTAATCATAGTTATTGGTACAAAAGGTCTTTGGTTCAATTCCCAAAAACCAACAAAAATTTGTGGGAGGCCGATAAACACGAGAGGGGTAGAAATAGGGCCAAAAGAGATTTATATCAATAATAAAATTCTTCGCGTTAATTAATTTAATAAAAGATTTGCATGGAAATTCCTCTTTGTTTTTGTTATTGAATCTACGTCTTTAATTTTTGAAGAAATAACAATTTTTTAATCTTAATGAAAGATCAGGGCCGGCGTTTCCGAATACGTCAAAAACAAAATAAAACAAACTTCACGTGACAAAGATGCCAAAATAAATATTTAAATTACTAAAATAAAATCACTATCATTGAGCTTCTGCAACCGTTTAATCATAGTTACTGATACAAAAAGTCTTTGGTACAATTTCCTAAAACCAACAAAAATGTGGTGGCTGTTAAACCCGGGGTAGAAATAGGGCCAAAAGAGATTTATATCAACAATAAATTGATCTTTTTTATTAAAAAGAATCATAGTTACAACATCAACAAAATCTGACGTTTTTATTGTGACAAGACTTACGCATTAGCTAACGCCGGTCCTGATAATTGGTGAACATTGATTAACAAATTGGTGAGTGTTATTATTGAATCACATTCATTATTAGCTAATAATCCATGAACTAAGTGCGAAGACATTAAAAAAACGCTTAAACAAATGATCAAGTAAAGTAAATAAGTTAAGTTAAGTAATAATTGAGAGGAGTCAACAAAAACTGGATAGACAAACAAAAATTTGTTATTTCGTTTGAAAATTCTTCATAAACATTTATTTAACATTGTGTCGATGTTTAACGCAAGACAACAAACGTCAGATTTACGAATGTTAATTTTTTATCTTTTTTTCGTTGAGATTCGATGCAAATCTTTACAAAAACCGACCCAATATTGCCATCAGGTGTGGAAAAAGAGAGAGAGAAATAAAGAAGTCTTCTACTTATACAACTGCCCAGGTAGTCGAGTAGACTGGAATGGGGCTCAGTAATATTCAGTTTACCTAACGGTTCGCCTCGTTCCGTTCACAATATCATTTTTATATTCGTCCGTCTTAGCGGTAAATCCTAAGAAATTGAGTATTAATATATTAACAACAATAAGATTTTGAAGTGAAGACAACAACACTTGCAGGTATACATTAATTAAGCACTTTTACTTAATTAGTTAACATATTAAGAAGAAAATTTTCTTTTCTTTTTAATTTTCAATGATTTTTATTTTTCATGAGATAAAAACAATATCCTGAACTCAGATTAATAACACTAAAAATAGATAATGCTTGCTTTCTTAGATAAAATTCTTATAAAAACTTTAATTATTAGACAATTTCGAACAGTTTTCCATTAAAATGTTCCCGTTGAACAGTTACGACTGATAACAAGTATTTTGTAAATAAAAAAAATACGTAAAAAAGTTGATTAAATATAATCGCTTTTAGCCTTATCCAGTAACGAGGCTAGCTCGAAAAACAATTCAGCATTTGTTTCAATCGTGTTTTAACTTCATAATTAGTTAAACTTGTTCTTTTTAAGGTGATCATGACAAGTGTTTACGAAATCCTTCTGTGGCCTTTGGTAACGCTGCTGAGCGTCATCGTAGGGATTCCACTACGAATGTTGAACGGATGCAAGAGGAAACGATGCTGTTCTCCGGTTGAAGATGATCTGCTGATGATTCCTGCCCGAGATTTAGTTAGAAAGATCGTTAAACAAGAGGTAAGAAGTCAATCAACATTTCATTAAGTGTTTTCATTGCTTTAAGAAAACAAGTGTTTTTTCGTTTTTCCTTAAAGCGGTTTCTTGGGATTGTGAAAATAATATTGATTTCGAATTGTTTTTATTTATGTAAATTCGTTAAGTCTTGCTCTCCTTTGTACGTGAATTTGTTTTCAAAAGATGTTTTGAATCGATGAACTCACTTATTTTTACTTAATTATTTCTCAATTTTCCGATATTAAAAGAAGAAACAAACAAAATATGATAAATTGTTTTTTATGTCAAAGTACTTTGACTTTCGAAATTACGAATGTTGTCAATGAAATACAAATGTTTTCTTTGAGAATTCAGTCTTATTGCTTCAATATCGATGTTGTAACTTGGTATAAAGTAAAAAATGTTAAAATTTACCAATTTTTTCCAAAAACTATCACTTCAGATGTTGAAAAGAAGAGACAGTCAAAATTTGATTCTTTCGTTTCTTCGTTTTTCCTTAAAGCAGTTTCTTGGGATTGTGAAAATAATATTGATTTCGAATTGTTTTTATTTATGTAAATTCGTAAAGTCTTGCTCTCCTTTGTACGTGAATGCGTTTTCAAAAGATGTTTTGAATCGATGAACTCACTTATTTTTACTTAATTATTTCTCAATTTTACAAACAAATTTCGGATATTAAAAGAAGAAACAAACAAAATTTGCTAAATTGTTTTTATGTCAAAGTGCTTTGACTTTCGAAATTACGAATGTTGTCAATGAAATACAAATGTTTTCTTTGAGAATTCAGTCTTTTTGCTTCAATATCGATGTTATAACTTTGTATAAATTAAAAATGTTAATATTAATCAATTTTTTTCCAAAAACTATTACTTCAAATTTTGAAAAGAAGAGACAATCAAAATTTGACAATTTGTATTTAAGTCAAAGTACTTTGACTTTAGAAATTACTAATGTTTTCAATGAAATTTGAGAATTAAGGCTTCAACATCTTTGTACAATATAGAAATGTTAAAATTTCTTCAGATTTTGAAAAGGCGAAATAGTAAAAAAAAAAGCAAATGTTCATTCATTGTATAAAAATGCACTGTTAATGTGTATTATTGTTTAATTTCTACACGAATGATGATCATGTTTCCACGGAAATTCCATAAAACATAAGTCTTTGTCTTTCACTTCTTTGTTTTCCTATGAACTATTTTACCAACGCATACAGTAATTACATGAATGTGCTTAAAAATAGAATCGATAAAAATTCCTTTCTACAAAAGTTTATTTATTGACTTGAATGGAAGACATTGTTAAAATGACGTTGATTTTTAGGTGAAATGTCACACGGTTATCAGCAGATACGTGAACCGTATAAACGCTGTGAATCCTTTGGTCAACGCTATCGTGGAGGAACGATTCGAAGACGCTTTGAAAGAAGCTGCAGCAGTTGACGAGATGATAACGCAGAACAAATTGAGCGAGGAAGAACTGTTATCCTGCTACCCTCTTCTAGGAATCCCGATAACAATCAAAGAGAGCATAAGCGTGAAAGGTATGAGCAACGGGGCAGGATCGTTGCAAGCCAAAGATAAAATCGGAGAAGAAGACGCAGACATTGTTAAAGCTGTGAAGAAGGCGGGAGCCATCGTGATGCTGGTCTCCAACACACCAGAATTATGCTTAAATTGGGAAACTTCCAATAAAGTCACCGGAATCACGTGTAATCCGTACGACACGCGACGAACTTGCGGTGGATCTTCAGGCGGTGAAGTGCGTAAGAGCAT